AAGGTAAATTGAAAATGATGAGTCATTTAGCTGAAAAGTGCCATTTTAATATTGTGTTACTATTATCATAGATACTGGACTATAAACTCCTTGACGTCATAGACCATATTATTCATCTTGATATCCTCTGCAGCAGCCAGCAGTGTTGCACAGATTAGACATGCAATAGATATTTATTATACAACATAATCGGAAGAAGGTAGAAATTAATTTTACCTCAGGAAAATGAAAATGAGTACATAAATATAAGAAATAACAGAAAACACATTCTATGTTTAGATTCTCTTCAGTTCAGGGGAATAGGGTACTAGTAGTAACACAAGTCAAGATGCCTTATTTTTTTTTATTTATTTATTATTTTTTTGTGAGGAAAATCAGCCCTGAGCTAACATCCATGCTAATCCTCCTCTTTTTGCTCAGGAAGACTGGCCCTGAGCGAACATCTATTGCCAATCCTCCTCCTTTTTTTCCCCAAAGCCCCAGTAGATAGTTGTATGTCATAATTGCACATCCTTCTAGTTGCTGTACGTGGGACGCGGCCTCAGAATGGCCAGACAAGCTGTGCGTCGGTGCGCGCCTGGGATCTGACCCCGGGCCAACAGTAGCGGAGCGCGAGCGCTTAGCCACTAAGCCACCGGGCCGGCCCAAGATGCCTTATTTTTAAACAATTTTGTTGGATTTTTCAACTGCACTGAAACAGCAATCAGCAATGAACTAGCAAGTGGTCTATAAGCACGTGGAGCAAGTATTGGTTTCATAGGCTTTTATATCTGATCTGCACTTTTTTCATGGCCTGGTAGATAGGAACTATTAGGTATCCACAAAAAGGGAAATGTATTCAGAAAAAAAAAAGTTCCTTTAGAATTCAGAATGGAAAAGATACTGCAAGTGTGATCCTTGGCCTTTAAGGAGAAAAGGTTCATCGATACTAAACCTTGGCCTCAAAATGGAGAATCAATAACACTTCTTTTCCCGCAGCTAACCCTGAGGTGAGCCTAGGAGTTTCACTTTAAGTAGTAGATCTGAGATTAAAACCCCAAAACCCTATCAAACTACAATTTAGCATTAAATTTGGGAAAAGAGGAATTAAAACAATTTGGAGGTGGATGACTTTCTCCTAATAGAACCAGTTATTCTGTAAGAAACTTAGATCTTTATGCAGCTCTGTGATGCACAAACGGGTCTGCTCACCTTTGACTCCTCAGGGGTTAGTATCTATTGAGTGTCCAATAAGTATTTATGAAATCTAGTTAAAGAAAATCTTTCTCAAACTAGTAATAAAGTACGTGAATGCAGAATTCCTGTGATATATTACAAATGAAAATATAGCTTTATAAAGATACCTTTATTTCGAAAAGTATCTTTGAAATGTGTTGTTGCTGTTGCTAATACTTCAATACATTGACTTAACAGGAGGTCCTTGTGCCCACTTTGTGGGTACAGTGAATGACAGATGGGACAGACAGCGTTAATGAGCAGGGCTGTGTCTGTGATGCCTTCACAGGAAGGGAATTGCATTTTTCCTTCGTTCTCAAAAAGCTTGAGTGCAGCCCAGCCTCCTCCACCCAGTTTGCCTCTCCTTGGACCAGATGTGTTGGGCTAGATTGTTTTTCCATTTCTGCTGAAGCAATCAAGTCTTACATGCTCTCCTGTCCTACTTTCAGCTGTGTTTCAGATGACTCGGTAAAGCAGTACACATCCCGGGATCACCTCGCAAAGCACTTCCAGGTCCCTGTCTTCAAGTTTGTGGGCAAAGACCACAGGGTGAGCTGAACACCTTTGGCTTGTAACCCCCTCTCCCTTAGCCTTCTTTCTGTTTTTTTCAAAAGCTTGGTTTTTGTGTGTGTGTGTGAGGAAGATCAGCCCTGAGCTAACATCCATGCCAATCCTCCTCTTTTTGCTGAGGAAGACCAGCCCTAAACTAACATCTATTTCCAATCCTCCTCCTTTTTTTTCCATTTTTCTCCCCAAAGCCTCAGTAGATAGTTATATGTCATAGTTGCACATCCTTCTAGTTGCTGTATGTGGGATGCTGCCTCAGCATGGCCGAACAAGCGGTGCGTCAGTGCGCGCCCGGGATCTGAACCCTGGGCCGCCAGTAGCAGAGCACGTGCACTTAACCGCTAAGCCACGGGACCAGCCCCTAGCCTTCTTTCTTGATGTCCCAATTTGTTAACATTCTATGAGCCCACAGTTGGGATCTGCATTATCTCTATGAAAAAATACTGTAAAACTGGCCATCTAGAAGCCTAACACCTTCATGAATGTCACAGTTATCTGCCCCCTCCCAATAAAATAACTGTGCTTGTTCAAAGAAAATACTATATAATCATAATTTTAAATCTTTGTGGGCAGATGTGGTTGAAAAAGCCTGTGTGGTGGTCACATGGCAAAGGATACTGACAGAAAATTCACAGAAAAGCCAAATAGCGAAATGTTCAGTGAAAATAGTACGTAAAATGCCAATTAAAACAATTAAAAGGCACTATTTTATACATATTGAATTTATAAAAATTATAAATTACAACACTTGCAAGGTTATAGGGAGAAGTATAGAGTGGCAGTATAAATTGATACACTCTATAGAAAGTTGACTGAAAATAGTAATGATAACCATAAAATCATCATATTCTTTTATTTAAAAATTCCAATTCTGACAGCTTCTCAAAAACAAAGAAAAACAAGATTTGTTACATGTGTTTATTTTGATAAGGGGTGGTGAAAAAAGCCCCCAAACAGTATATCAATTAATGCAACATTAAGCAGTTATTAAAATGATAAGTATAGAAAAAGGAGAAATGAAAAAACTGTTGCCATAACAATTTACATGCATATTGAATATGATACATTTTTTTAAAAAATGTATATACATGAATATCGGTTATAAGAGGCTATATATAGTATGTTAAGGTGGGAGTTTTTTGTTTTTTATTTTAGTAGAGTTCTGGAAACACTTAAACAAAAAGTTTAAGAGACCAACGTTTTACACACTGCATTTAAGGATGTACATTCGTGTCCTTTCCAGCTACATCACTTGTTCCAGAACAATTGCTAACCATGATGGCTAATCCTGATCTCCATCCTCAACTAGGCAGCGTGCTTTGGAAGCACGCTTACAGGAAGAAGCTTGGAGAAAAAACATTATTTTACACAGAAGTGCGTGGGAGCTGATGTTATTCCCAGACCTTGGTGTGAAGAACAAAAATGTTAACATTATTAGATGTTGCCTTCACAAGGGTCTCTCCTGTCCCTGCACAAAGGCAAAAGTCATAGATGTGGGGTTTTAAATCACCCACGTGCCCCAGTGTGTTTGCCACATTAGTAAATGAGTGAATTTGGACAAGTGCCTCACCCTCTCTAATTCCCAGTTTCCTCATCTGTAAGATGGAGGCAATAACACCTACCTCAAAAGGTTGTTGTTTAGATGAAATGAGATAATATATATATGAAACGTTTGGGTAGTGTCTGGCTTCTAGAAAGTGCCCCACAAGTGGCAGCAGTTATCACTGTTTTTGTTAATTATCATTATGGTCTTTCCAGGAAGTGTTTCTGCACTGCCGGGTCCTTGTCTGTGGAATGCTGGACGAGCGGTCCCGCTGTGCCCAGGGCTGCCACCGGCGAATGCGCCGTGAGGCAGTAGAGGGAGAGGACACAGCTGGTCCACAGAGCCAGATGCTGACAGGCGGCCCGATCAGCATTGACTGGGAGGACTAGGATGACCCAACACCTGAGTCCTGACTTCGGGCTGCCGGCCTGTTTGGAACTTCCCACACCCTCTGAGAACATCAGTCAACACCCTAGAACACCGTGCTTCTTTAAATCTCCTACTGTGGGTTTAGACAAACTCCCAGAACCAAGTCACTCTGATTCCAGCCCACTGGGTCGGGAAAGGTCACCTCACTACTGACTGACCCGACCCAGGTGGGGCTTTATCCTCCTAAAGTTGGAAGCTGTGCTGTCCACGCAGAAAGCTGCTCACCCTATTCCCCTCATTTCTTTCCTACAGTAAAACACCTAGTGTAGGGTGCAGTAGGACCACTAAAATCAGAAGTTGGGTATAATATTTCAAATGAGGAACTTAAAATAACTTAAATGGTTGCTTGAAATTATGACTTAATTACCCAATGATTCCTTAAATATGTAAATAATAATTATACCCTGAAATTTTAATTCAAATACAGAATAGTTATAGGGGATTTGGGAGTTTATCAATATAAGTGTGTACTAAAATATACTATTTGGTTTTTCTCTTGCACGATATTTTCTTTTGATGTTTTTATATTAAGTGAAATATTTTCAATTAATAAATGTTAATTCATTAACATGCATTTAAGTGGTTCAATGACTGAATTGTAGACAAAATTAAAATTTGGTACCATATGCCGTGTTATTTGGCATTCTATGCCCTCAGACTGATAAGACAATAGAAAAAGGTATAAAATTATATCATACTCTATTTTGTAGGTGCTTAATAAATTTTATTGAAATAAATATCATAAACCACAGAGATAAATTTTATCTTCAATTAAACCCAATTTCTTGGTAAGCCAATTAATTTTATGGCTTTATATAAGATCAAAAAACAGTTTTTCTTCTTTTTCTTTTTAGAAATGGCTACAATCAACAATTCTTAATGGAACCAGAGACATTAACCAAAGGAAGGGTTAGGAGAAAATTATCTAGATCAGGAGTTGGCCAACTTTTTCTGTACAGGGCCAATGGTAAATATTTTAGGCTTTCTGGGCCATATGGTCTTTGTCACAACTATTCAACTCTGCTCTTGTAGCACAGGAATAGCCATAAACAAATGTGAGCATAGCTGTGTTCCAATAAAACTTTATAGAAACAGGTGTTGGGCCTGATTTGGCCACTGGGCCTTCGTTTGCCAATCCCTGACCTTATTGCCAATCCCTCAGCCCTCACAGTGCATCAGAATCACTTGGGGAGCGTTTATAACATACCAATAGGTAGGCACTGCACGCAGAGAGAGATTCTTTGTGTTTTTAATGCTCCTCAGGTTATTCTAATCCACAGTCAGGGCAGAGAACCACAACTAAGGGAAAGGCCCTTTGTCTCTCATTCCCATCAGATTTCAGGGACTTCACCTAGATATTTTCAGTGGCAGTTTTTGCCAAGTGCTTCTCAGATCTTAACATGACACTAACACCGCTTAGTAATTGGGAATATCAACCTGAATAATTCACGGCAGGAAAAAAATGGGACCTCAGGGACCTGCTCCATTTGACCTCCACCTCCACTGGCCTTTATCAGGTAAGCCTCTGACCCTGCTCACCTGTTTTTATCTCTTCAGCATCAGTGGGCATAATTGTTATCATTTGTGGAACTTACCAGGTTGGGTCCTGTTCTCTTCTAAGTGAAATGGAAGCATATTGGTGATAATGGAATTCATTCATCTCTTTTCAAATTTTCTAAAAAGTACACTTTATTAAATGTGAGATGCTTATTGGCAACTGAAACAAGGACCAGAGGAAAGTCATTGCCTCCCAAATAGTTGGGCTCTCCAAAATTTCACTTATGAATATAATTATCGAACTCCAGGAATCCCAGTATTTTCGTCTTTAAACTAAGAACTGAATTTCCAGGCAAATGTGTCTTGGCTGGGGAGACCAGTGTTAAAGTGAAGAGCCGTCTTCAAATCCCTCCATGTCTTTTTTCCAATTCTCCTCAAAGGATGGGACTCAGTTTTCAGCTGTAGAATAATGTTTCCTTTCTCCTGCTTTGTGGTATTCAAACTTTTGAAAGAAAGGATGAGACACATCTGCCATACTACCATCTCCAAGACTGACAGCTGTGGTGTCACTCAAAACCAGGAAGGAATCACCTCTTCCTCATAACTCTTCTTTCTCTTCTTCTGCACAGATGCAGGCTGCACGTTGACTATTCATAAACGGTCGGCAGCCCAAGGTCCATACAGTATTGAACACAGTGTCAGCCAGAGAATCACAGGCTATTTGAAAAAAAATGCAGAGAAATATAAAGTTTAATATATCGGAGTACCCCAAGCAGTTTGAGTAATTTTGAAGAAGCAACATATTTCCAAGGATGACATGATACGCCCAGGAAAGCAGAGGTAGTAATCCAAAAACAGCATTAGAAGGGAAAACATGCATTTGAGAGAAGCTATTTCAGAGAAGCTTCCATCCAATCTAGTAAAGCAGAATACACTTTGGAGTACTCTCCTTTTATGGGCCTCCAGCTCAAAACCATGGTTAGCAATCAGAATCTACTGTACTACTATGCTCACTCCATGAAAAACCTAACATTTTTGCAGAATACTCCCAGATAATACTATGTTTCCTATAGCTTTCCCTGTACACGTGTGGGCTGAGTAACCATTCATTCATTGAAAAAATATGTGTGTGTGTTGGATGTTGGTCAGCCACTCTGTTAGGCATCACGGATACAGAGACCAAAGAGATCCCAATTCAAGGATCTCACAGTTTGGAAAAAGAGGTGGACAGGATGGACAGGGAAACAGATAATTGTACTACACCACAATGGAAGTAAACCCAAGGTGGTATGGGAGCCCACAGAAAGGGTCTCTATCCTTTTGGGGTAAGAGTTATCAGGGAAAGCATCTCAGAACACCTTCCATTGGAATTTTGGTAGATATTGCAGTGAATCTGTAGATTTCTTTGGGTAGTATGGACATTTTTAACAATATTAATTTTTCCAATCCGTGCACACAGAATATCTTTCTGTTTGTGTCTTCTTCAATTTTTTTCATCAATGTCTTATAGTTTTCATCGTACAGTTCTTTCACCTTTTTGGTTAAATTTATTCCTAGGTATTTTATTCTTTTTGATGCAGTTGTAAATGGGACTGTTGTCTTAATTTCTCTTTCCGGTAGTTCATTATTAGTGTATAGAAACGCAACAGATTTTTGTGTATTGATTTTGTATTCTACAACTTTACTAAATTTATTTATTAGTTCTAACAGTTTTTTGGTGGAGTCTTTAGGGTTTCTCTATATAATATATCATCTGCAAATAGTGCCAGTTTTACTTCTTCTTTTCTGATTTGGATGCCATTTATTTTATTTTCTTGCCTAATTGCTTGGCTAGGACTTCCAATATTATGTTAAATAAAAGTGATGAGAGTGGGCATCCTTGTCTTGTTCCTGATCTTACAGGAAAAGCTTTCAGCTTTTAACCATTGAGTATGATATTAGCTGTGAGCTTGTCATATATGGCCTTTATTATGTTGAGGTACATTCACTCTATACTCACTTTGTTGAGAGTTTTTATCATAAAAGGATGTTGAATTTTGTCAAATGATTTCTGTGTATCTATTCAGATGATCATATGATTTTTATCCTTTATTTTGTTAATGTGATGTATCACATTGGTTGATTTGCTGATGTTGAACCATCCTTGCATTCCTAGAATAAATCCCACTTGATCATGGTGTATCATCCTTTTAATGTATTGTTGAATTCAGTTTGCTAATATTTTGTTGAGGATTTTTGCATCTATGTTCATCAGGGATATTGGCCTGTAATTTTCTTTTCTTGTGGTTTCCTTGTGTGGTTTTGGTATCAGGGTAATGCTAGCTTCAATAAATGAGTTTGGAAGTGTTCCCTCCTCTTCTATTTTTTTTGGAAGAGTTTGAGAAGGATTGGTATTAATTCTTCTTTCAATGTTGAAGCCATTTAAATGGCTGATTAATTATTCTTTAAATGTTGAAGCCACTTTAAAAAGGAAGCCATCTGGTCCTGGACTTTTGTTTTTTGGGAGGTTTGTTGATGGCTGATTCAATCTCCTAACTAGTAATTGGTCTGTTCAGATTTTCTATTTCTTCATGATTCAGTCTTGGTAGGTTGTATGTTTCTAGGAATTTACCTATTTCTTCTACATTGTCCAATTTGTTGGCATATAAATGTTCATAGTAGTCTCTTATGATACTTTGTATTTCTGTGGTATTAGTTATAATGTCTCCTTTTTCATTTCTGATTATATTTACGAGTCCACTCTCTTTTTTTCCTAGTGGGTCTATCTAAGGGTTTGTCTATTTTGTTTATCTTTTCAAAGAACCAGCTCTTAGTTTCATTGCTCTTTTCTGTTATCTTTTTAGTCTTTCTCATTTATTTCTGCTCTGATCTTTGTTATTTCCTTTCTTCTACTAACTTTGGGCTACTTTGGGCTTTGTTTGCTTTTCTTTTTCTAGTTCCTTGAGGTGTAAAGTTGGGTTGTTTATTTGAGATCTTTCTTATTTCTTGATGTAGGCATTTATTGCTATGAACTTCCCTCTTAGAACTGCTTTTGCTGCATCTCTTAAGTTTTAGTATGTTGTATTTCCATTTTCATTTATTTCAAGGTATTTTTTTGTTTCTCTTTTGATTATTTCTTGACCCATTAGTTGTTCAATAGCATGTTGTTTAATCTCAACATCACTTTCACCACTTTTATTCAGTATTGTACTAGAAGTTCTAACCAAGGCAATTGGCAATAGAAAGAAATAAAAGGCATCCAAACTAGGAAGGAAGACAATATGCAGATTACATTACTTTGTGTATAGAAAAGCCTAAGGAATCCACTAAACATCTATTAGAAGTAATAAATGACTTCAGCAATGTTGTAGGATAAAAGATCAGGATAAAATATACAAAAATTAATGGTATTTCTATACATTATCAGTGAATGATCTGAAAATAAAATTAAGAAAACAACTCCATTTACAATAGCATCAAAAAGAATAAAATACTTAGGAATAAATTATACAAAAGAGGTGTAAGACTTGTGCTCTGAAAACTATAAAACATTGTTGAAAAAAATTAAAGAAGACCCAAATAAATGGAAAGACATTCGTGTTCACTGATCAGAAAATATAATTTTGTTAAGACAGCAATACTCCTTAAATTGACGTACAGATTCAACAAAAGCCCTATCAAAATTCCAACTGCCATTTCTTAAAGAAATTTACCTGCTGAACCTGAAATTCATATGGAAATGTAATGGATCCAGAATATCCAAAACAATCTTGAAAAAGGAGAACAAAGTTGAAAGACACTTCCTAATTTCAAAATTTACTACAAAACTACGGGAATAAAAACAGTGTGATAGTGGCATAGATCAATGGAATAGAATTGGCAGTCTAGAAATAAACACTGCATTTATGGTCAATTCATTTCTGACAAGGGTGCAAAGACAATTTAATGTGGGAAAGACTAGTCTTTTTCAACAAGTGGTGCAGGAACAACTGGATACCCACATACAAAAGGATGAAGTTGGACCCCTTTCTTACACCATACACAAAAACTAACTAAAAATGGATCATATGAGGAAAAACAAAACTCTAAGAAGAAAATAAAGGAGTAAATCTGTGTGACCTTGGGTTAGGCAAAACCTTCTTACATACGACACCAAAAGTACAAGCAACAAAAGAAAAAAATAAATAAATTGGACTTAATCAAAATGTAAAACTTCTGAGCTGCAAATTATATCATCAAGAAAGTGAAAAAACAACCCACAAAAATGAGAGAAAGTATTTTCAAATCATATATCTGACAAAGGGCTTGCGTCCAGAATATGTAAAGAACTCTTATGACTCAATAATAAAAAGGTGACCCAATTAAAAAAGGGGCAAAAGATCTGAATAGACATTTCTCTAAAGCAGATATTTAATGGCCAATAAGCACAGAAAAAGATGCTCAATATCATTAGTAATCAGAGAAATGCAAATCAAAACCACAATGAGATATCCCTCCACGCCCACTAGGGTCTATAATAAAAAAGATATTAACAAGTGTTGGTAAGGATGTGGAGAAACTGGAACCTTAGTACATTGCTGGTGAGAATGTGAAATGGTGTAGCTGTTTTGGAAAACAGTTTATCATAAAATTACCATAAAACCCAGAAATTCCCCTCCTAGATATATACTCAAGAGAAATGAAAACATATGTCTCCACAAAAACTTGTACATAAATGTTCATACCAGAATTATTCAGAATAGCCAAAAAATGGAAACAACCCAAATATCCATCAATTGAGGAATGGATAAATAAAATGTTATATCCATACAATGTAATATTATTTAGTAATAAAAAGGGATGAAATACTGATACATGCTACAACATGGATGAACTTTGCTAATTGAAAGAAGCCAGTCACAGAAGACCACATATTTTATGATTCTATTTATGTGAAATGTCCAGAATAGGCAAATCTATAGAGGTAGAAAGCAGATTAGTGGTTGCCTAGAGCTGGGCAGGGGAAGGATGGGGTGGGACCACTAACGGCTATGGGGTTTCTTCCTGGAGTAGTGAAAATATTCTCAAATTGTTTATGGAACTGATTGCATAACTCTGTGAACACATTAAGAAAGCATTTAAATGGTTGAATTGTATAGTACGTGAGTTATATCTCAATAAAGCTATTTCAACAATAACAAAAAAAATGAATGATCAGAGTGTTCCAAGCAGAGGGTACTGAAGAGGCAGAAAGATATGGGCTATCAACCAAGTAGTTTGAAATGTAGTAGGAGAGTAGTCAGGAGAGAAATCAGCAATAAGCAAGATGATGCTAGAGAGGTAGGGTAGGGCTGAATCAGAAAGGGCTTTGTATGTCATACTAAGGAGTTTGGATGTAATCCTAAGGAAGAAGAACCTATGAGAGGTAGGCTAGGGCTGAATCAGAAAGAGCTTTGTATGTCATATGAAGGAGTTTGGATTTAATCCTAAGGAAGAAGAACCTATCAAAGGACTTACACAGAGATAACCAGATTTGTGTAGTATAAAAATATATCTGGTCTCTATGGTGCAAATAGATTGGATGGGACCTAGAGATTGGGTTAATTTGCAGTAACCAGGCAAGTGGTATATCAAAGAGATATTTAGGAGAAAAAATCAATAGGACATTGCTTGGAGGAAGTAATGTGACCTGACCCTGCATTATTAGCAGCAAGCACTTTTTCCCCTTTTGTAGGTACAGATAAAGTGATACTCCCTTTTACAGAGCCTAATTAATTATTCATATTTTCAAGCCCTCACACATTCACTTTAGGACTACACTCTGGACACTGATCTATGAACAAGATCCAAAATTCTTTCTACTGTTGACTTTCTCAGTGGCATGGGGCCAGCTCTTTATAAGCCTGAGTTTCAAACTTCATCATTTGAAAATATATAATGCTAATACCTGGGTATAATGTTCTGGCTTCAGAAACTAAAGGATTAAAACTTTTCCTAAGGTAAATTAGGAAAAAGAAATTATAGAATCAGCGCTAGAAATTGGGTAGCTAAACAGTTGTTTAAAAATAGTTATCCTGGGGCCGGCCCCGTGGCTTAGAGGTTAAGTGCGTGCGCTCTGCTGCTGGGGACCCGGGTTCGGATCCCGGGCACGTACTGATGTACCGCTTGTCAGGCCATGGTGTGGCAGCGTCCCACATAAAGTGGAGGAAGATGGACACGGCTCTTAGCCCAGGGCCAGTCTTCCTCAGCGAAAAAAAAAAAAAAGAGGAGGATTGGCATGGATGTTAGCTCAGGGCTGATCTTCCTCACACACACAAAAAATAGTTATCCTCAAGTTTACATAGACCTTTACACAAAAAGATAGGTTTTCAAAAATTCTTTCCCTGACTGAGAACAAAATAAGAAAAAAAGGGCTTAAACCAAACCAAATGGTCTTATAGAGAATAACTGCTGATATGGAAAATTATTTAACAGTGGAATGGATAACTAAAGCCAGTTGGGCAACTCTTTCTCCGGTCTTAAAGGATAGATTTTCATATCTGTGGGAAGGCTTTGGTGTGGCCCTGTCCATCAGGAGTGGTGCCAGCAGCTCCTGGGCAGAACAGCAAGAACTTTAGTGAAGGAGTGCCCAGAATCTTCCTTGGCCCTTTCTTGCATTGGTCACAGCATTCTGTAAAGAATGTTCAGTGAGCTCTGATGGTCTCTTTGAGCCAAGGGAGTCTGGTTACATTTCTGTGTGAAAATAAGAACAAGAATCCCTGCTCACAAGTAGATGCCCTACAGATACCTACCTTCCACATTAGAGACAAAGCCCAGACTCCGCTTCAGGTCAGAGCAGATAGAGTGGAGACACCATCGGAATTTTGCATCACAACGATACTTGTTGGCACCGCAAGTATCGTAACAGACATCCAGCTGGTTGCAGCACTTGGTCATTGCTGGAATGCCCAAGTCCATCTGGGGAAAAGTGAAGCAAGAAAAGAGAAGGAAGAAAATGCCACATTTAGACCAAGGACCTTGCCCACTTTGTTATTAACTAGCCAGTTCTCAAATTCCTGTTATATGTTCAGATCAATTCAGAAACACCAGTGACTGGAGAGAATACGTCAGGTTAACAGACACAGGAGGCTAAATTTCAATCACAGTTTAGTTATTAGTTTAATAACTCTGAATGATCTATTTTTCTTCTTTTTATTTTAGATTTTAGTAATTTTCAAATTCACAGGCCACTACGGTGAAGAAAATAGAGATCAGAAAGTTAATCAAGAGGGCAATGCTTCGAGACTTCCAAATTTGAGTAAACCTACATTATGTGAGATTCTGTTTGAGCAAAGGATTCCAAGGCTCAGTATGAAAAATTAAGCCTCAGTTCATCAAGAGGTCACCAGCATTTATCAGGGACCCGTCCCGTACAGCACTGTTTTAAGGTGTGTGTATGTGTCTGTATGTGTCGGGGAGCAGAGTGGGGTATAGAACGCATAGTTCCTGACCACAAGGGGACTATGGTCAAATGACAATATCCAACACACACATATTTATTAAGCATCCCATAAACAATTGTAAGTGTTGTGGCATAAGCGAAGTTCATAGAATGCCACACACAGAGTTAGCAAACAGGAATTTTTTTGAGAGGGTTATTAGAGATGAGGGTAGACTTGGGGTATAGCAGGTAAAGCAAAGAAATAATGAGCAAACCATATGTGAGCAGGTCAGTTAGTTTGTTTAGTCTTTCAAGGGTCTTAGCAGGGTAAAATATATATACATATATATACCTAATTTTTTTTAAATTAGGGAGAAATGCAAGTTAATGAATGGCTTTGACTTCCAAAGTTACTAGTTAGATTTGATAAAGAAAGGAAGGGACATGATGCAAGGAGTGATTAAACAGGAGTAATCATTCTGTGGTATATAAAATAGATTGGAATGGGGTGAGTCTAGACGTGGGTAGAGCATCTTGGAATCTTTTGCAGTTCTTCTGATAATATACCCTTGGACTTGGGTGGAAGCTGTCAACATCTGGTTTCAGGGTATGGGTGGGGAAGGATAAGTCAGCTCCCATAGATTCCTTCCTCTTAGCTCTCCTTCAGTGTTCCCCTATTTGAACTTCTACTCCAAGGCCACCTAAAGCAGAATATGGACTTTGGCCGTTTAAAATGCTCTTTTAGGCAAAAAAACACATATTTACATTAAGAGATAATTTAACTCATTAGATTAGGCAAAGTCGTGGACTCTGAAATTCTGGGTAAATTCCCATCATCTGATATCTGAAGTAATCTACTTGGTTTGTACTTCACCCCTAAAACTAAAAATACATCACAACAGAGGTAACTGAGAATCAATGAGTATAGTGGCTCTCATTCAATTCAACTAAATTGTAAATTCTTGAACTAGTTCTAAACGATATATGTACCAGTAAACAAAGTGACATCACTCCGCAAATAGGGTGCATACCACTTCCATAGCTACTAAATTGATAACAAGTAAAATATATTAGCCAAAAGCATGTGATTTTTCTGATAAATATATACATTTGAAAGGATTGTCTTTCTTCTGTGTCCATATGCATAGTATTGACGATTATGGACAAGGCTGGGCAGACAGCTGTGCAGGTTGTGCAATGCACAAGAGCATCAATATCTAAAGTGGCACCTTCCACAAGAATCATAGATTTATATATTTATTTAGAAAAATGTCTAGCCAACTGCAGTCAAACTTCCTTTTCTAACAAAATTTCCTTTTCTAACAATTTTCTTTTTCTGACAATTAAGATAAATTTCTGACAAATGGAAGAAAACTGTCTTGAAGAAAGGGAACCTTTTTCCAATTTGCACAAAATACCACATGGGTAACCAAGATTTTAGTTAGAAGAATATACTTTATGCTGCTTGGAAAATTATTACAAAGTAAAATCTTTTGAATCATCAGAAAAGTGAAGTTTAGCCTGATTAAGACACAATTCAAAATCATAGTTTAGATATGAAATCCCTCTACCTACGTTTTACATAAAACCTGTTTTCTAAAGTGAAAAGAGTAAAAGGGCCTTAAAAGGTGTTAAAAGAAATTAATTTATTATTTGTTTTTAGAGGAGGCTGATAGTTTGAGAAATTGCCAGCAGTGTGACAATAAACGTTTAGCCAGCAGCTAGCAGGTGTGTGGGGTGTGTGTGTGTGTGTGTGTGTGTGTGTGTTTGCAGATTTTTATGATATTAATACTCCAAACATAGCTGATCTGATGCTACAGACGTGAATTCTACAGCTTGCAAAAGTCCTGACAATATAACAATCAGTTCTCACTTGTCAGTACCAGCTGGCTCCAGCACATCACTGGAAAGTCTCAGTAATTTAAATAAGTTGAATTTGTCAGATCTATTTCAAATAAATAAGTTGAATTTGTCAGATCTATTTCAAACTAAGTTATGTTTGATCCCTTAAGGCTCAGCTGATATTTGCCATGGCGACTTCAAAGGTTACAACGCAAGGGCTTATCAGAGGGACAGCTGCCTCTGAGAAAAGGAAATCAGATACTTTCTTTGAAAATTATCTCCCTTCCTCCATATCCAATTTAAAAAAACTTAATTATAGGGACCAGCCCGGTGGCATAGTGGTTGGGTTCACGTGCTCCACTTTGGCGCCCAGGGTTCGCAGGTTTGAATCCTGGGCACAGACTAACGCACTGCTCAAGCCATGCTGTGGCAGGCATCCCACATACAAAACAGAGGAAGATGGGCACAGATGTTAGCTTAGAGCCAATCTTCCTCAGCAAAAAGAAGAAGATTGGCAACAGATGTTAACTCAGGGCCGATCTTCCTCACCAAAAAATAAAAAAACAATTATATTGCTCAATTATATTCCATAAGTGATCACTTCCATCAGTAATAACTCTTGGATTGGTCTTAGTTAAAACCAATCAACTAAGAAATAATGGTGGTGGTACATACACTTCCTGGTACCTTGAGACCCAGGAAATGGGAGCTGCAGCCGTTCGGTTCCTGAGGCTTGTAGCCAGGTCTGGGCATTGGTGCCTTTCCTAGCAAGAGAAAGAGAGAAAAGAAGCCGGAAGAAATATTTAGAAATTAAGCATTTGGGAACATTTATCAAATAAAAGTTATCTAAAAGCATATTAGTATTTCCTTCAAAAGTCATTGTTCCTCACCAGATAGTCACATCCAAATTAGGTGGTGATGATGTAATGAGGATGATGATTATGATGTCATAAAAGAGTAATAACCTTCAGATCAGTTTTGCATTTTTCTCCTAATCTCAAAAAATCTTATGAGCATTTACTTACTAACAATTCTAACATTTAAGTGCATGGCCTTGAAGATAAGGTCTATGGCGAAACCAAACCAAAACTCAAGTTGTCTTACTCCTCGATCCACTGTAAGACCATATACCATGCACAGAAAAGGGAGAACACTACCTGATCAGACACTTAGGGAAGCAGAATTGTAACAGTACCACAAATAGTTTTCAGAATAACTGGAAGGAAATTTTGCAAGATTCCATAAATGTAGAGAAAGCATTATTGACCCAAGGGTAAAGAAAACACCTCTCTGCAATATTTTAGACATTTGTATCATAGAACTAAGCAGAAACTATCTGAAAAGCTTTGAATTTCTTGGTTTCTCTTACATAGCTTTTGAGTTACTTTATGATCTTGCAAATGTGTAGAGAGAAGCTTTGTCAGTTGTATCAATGGCAGTCATGATAGATGAAGATAACCTTGACCTGAGATGACCTCAGGACAGTCATCTGCAGTGAGTATTTTTATCCCATTATCCAGATAAGGAAAATCTGTTTAAGGAGTTGCATGACCGGCCTAAGTCAGTAAGCAGAAGAAGCTGGATATAAATCCAGATTTCCTGTTTGTGTCCAAAGCCCATGTGCTTTCATCACATTCCTTTGCCTCTTTTTAGGAGAAGGTCTTCCTTTATGTCCTTCAATAGAGTGTTATAATTTTCTCCATACATTTATTATATCTCCTACATACTGTATTATTCAGATGCTTAAACAAGATAGGACATCTCATAAAAATCCACAATTAAGGATCATAAGGCTGGTACGGTAAATCGGCACTTTTCTGGAACCCAGGCTGCTTCTAGCTTTCTGCTCTACCAGCCCTAGAATATAGCCCTGGCTCTCACAGTCTAAGATGGAGCTTCAGCCAACACATCCATATTACAAAGCAGCAGGATGGAAGGAGGTAGAAGTGTCACAGCCTCTCTCTTCAATAAACGCACTCCAGCATGTTACTCACATTACTTCCTCTTACTTCCCTTTGGCCAGATCTTAATCAAATGGCAACACCTATTTGCAAAGCTGGGCTAGGAAATGAAGCTTTTATTCAATAGAGGCAGCCGTGGGCCCAGCTTAAAGTTGGGAGGAGTGGCTTATTACTGTGGAAAACAGAGGAGATTAGGGGACAAAAAGCAGTCTCTGCCACAGTCTGTTCGGGTATTTGTTGCTGTGGTACAACGTGTATAAGATGGTGGTTCAAGAGGGTCCCCAATGATCCCTGTCTCCTGGTGTTCATACCCTGGTGTATTGTCTCAGGGTTGGCCTTTGTGACCAGTAGAATATGGCAGAAGTGGAGATGTTGGTTCCAAGATGAGATAATGAAAGACTACAACATCTGTCTTGGGCTTACACACACGCGCTCTCTCGCTCGCTCTTTCTTTCTCTCATCCTCTTTCATCACTTACTCTGGGAGCCATGTTGCAAACAGCCCCGTGGAAATGTCCAGTTGGCAAAGAACTAAAGCCTCCTGCTAACAGCCACATAAGTTTTGGCAGGAGATCCTCTGGCTTCAGTCAAATCTTCAGAGACTGTAGCATCAGCTGGCAGCATGACTACAGCTTTCTGAGAAACTCAGAGCCAGAACTACCCAGCAGAGCCACTCTAGGTTTCCTGACCCTCAGAAACTGTGTGATATAATAAAGGTTTGTCGTTTGGGGTGACTTTTTACTCAGCAACACATAACTTTTGCAGTTGACATTGTGATTTGGATCTCTTTTTTCATTACATTTTTTTCTATGACACTTTTATTGAGATATAATTCACATATTATACATTCACCAATTTGATGTGTATAATTCAATGGGTTTTAGCATATTCACAGAGTTGTGTGACCATTACCACAATTTAATTTTAGAACATTTTTATCGTCCCAAAAAGAAACCCCATACCCATTAGCAGTCATTCTCCATCTCCCCCTCCCCTAGCCCTAGACAACCACTAATCGACTTTCTGTCTCTATAAGCTTGCCTGTTTTGGACATTTCACATAAATGAAATCATACAATATGTGGCCTTTGGTGTCTGGTTCCTTTCACTTAGCATAATGTTTTCAAGGTTCATCCATGTTGTGGTATATGTCACTACTTCGTTTCTTTTTATTGCCAAAAAATATGATGGACATTTGGGTTGTTTCTACTTTTTGGCTATTATGAATAATTCTGCTACAAATATTTGTATACAGGTTTTTGTGTGGATAATATGTTTTCATTTCTCTGTAGGAGTAGAATTGCAGGGTCATATGGTAATTCTGTTCAACATTTTGAGGCACTGTCAGACTGTTTTCCAAAGTGGTGGCACAATTTCACATTTCCACCAGCAGTGTAGGAGGGTACCAATTTCTCCACATCCTCACCAACGCTTGTTATTATCTATCTTTTTGATTATAGTCATCCTAGTGGGTGTGAAGTAGTATCTCATAGTAGTTTTGATCTGCATTTCCCTAATGACTAATTATGTTGAATATCTTTTCATGTACTTACTGGCCGTTCACATATCTGCTTTGGGAAAATGTCTATTTAAGTCTTTGTGCATTTTATAATTGGTTTTTTTTTATAGTTGATTTGTAAGAGTTCTTTATATATTCTAGATACAAATGCCTAGTCAGATATATGATTTGCAAATGTTTTCTCCCATTTTGTGGCTAATTTTTTCATGTTCTTGATGGTATTCTTTGGATAACAAAAGTTTTGGATTTTGATGAAGTATAATTTATCCATTTTCTTTTTTTTTGTTAAGGTGAAATTCACATAACATAAAATTAACCACCTTAAAATGTACAAGTCAGTGGCATTCAGTACATTCATAATGCTATGCAACCATTATCTCTACTTCCAAAACATTTTCATCACCCTCCAAAGGAGGCCACAGGCCCATAAAGCAGTCACTCTCCATTCTCCCTTCCTTCTAACCTCTGACAACCACTCATCTGCTTTCTGTCTCTAGGGATTTACCTATTCTGGATATTTAAATAAATGGAATCATACAATATGTAACACTTTATGACTGCCTTCTTTCACTTAACATAATGTTTCACAGTTCATCTGTGTTGTAGCATGTATCAGTACCTCATTCCTTTTTATGGCTGAATAATATTCCATTCTCTGGTTATACCACAGTTTGTTTATTCATCTATCCATTGATGGACATTTTGGTTGTTTCCATCTTTTGGCTATTGTGAAGAGTGCTGCTATGAACAATTGTGTACAAGTATTTGTTTGAATGTCTGTTTTCAATTCTTTTGGGTATATATACCTAAGGAGGGGAATTGCTGGGTCATATAGTAATTCTATGTTTAACTTTTTGAGGAACCATCAACCTGTTTTCTTCAGCAGCTGCACCATTTTACATTCTACCAGCAATTCTTAAGGGTTTCAATTTCTCCATATCCTCATGGTTTTATTACAATTTATCTAGATGTGGATTGTATATGCTTATCCTGCTTGGAACAATCTGAAGATTTGGGTTTCTTTCACCTTTGGAGAATTCACAGCCATTGTCTGATTATTTTATTTCTCTCATTCTCTCTAGTTTCTCTTTCTGGGCCTCTTATCACTGAATGGGGAATCTTTTTAATCCTGTCCTTCATATATCTTAACCTCTCTGTCATGTTTTCCTTCTTTTTCTTTCTCTCTGTGTAATTTTGACTAGCTTCATCAAATCTATTTTCCATTTAACTAATTCTCTTTAGGTTGACTAATCTGACATGTAACCCATCCACAAAGTTCTTTCTTTCAATAACTATAACTTTCATTTCTTGTAATTCTATTTGATTCTTCTTTTAAATCTGTGTATTCATTTTCATTGAGTTCTACCTTTTTAAACTATGTTTTCTAGTCCTTCTTTTATTTCTTTAATAATTTCAAATGTTCTTGTTGTATTATTTTATTATCGCCAGTCCTTGGGAGGCTAAGTCTTTCATTTTTTAATGTCTACAGACTCTCCCTCCTGGTGGATTATTTTTTCACATGGTGTGTGATTTTTTAGTAAGAGCTCATCTTCAGAAGGGTTTGGTTTTTTAAAGGAATTCCTGTCATGTACTACAGAGTAGTTCCTCAATTGCTTTTTTTGTTTCTTTTTGGTGAGGAAGATTAGCCCTCAGCTAACATCCGTTGCCAATCCGTCTCTTTTTTTTTTATTTTGCTGAGGAAGATTGGCCCTGGGCTAACATCCATGCCCATCTTCCTCTACTTTATATGTGGGACGCCTGCCACAGCATGGCTTGACGAGCTGTGCATAGGTCTGTGCCCAGGATCTGAACCTGCGAACCCCAGAGCTGCTGAAGCAGAGTGCACGGACTTAACTACTACGCCACTGGGCCGGCCCTCCTCAATTGCTTTTGCTTGGCTCTAAGAATTTCAAAATACTTGAGACACCAGTATTTATGTTAATTTCTCAGCTTGGGATACTCACACCAGGCCAATAGTAGAGTCATGCATCACTTAACGACAAGGATACGCTCTGAGAAATGCGTCGTTAGGCAATTTCCTCATCGTGCAAACATCTTAGAGTGTACTTACACAAATCTAGATGGTATAGCCTACTATGCACCTAGGCTATATGGTACTGATCTTAGTCTTATGGGACCACTGTCTATATGTGGTCTGTCATTGACCAAAACATCATTATGTGGCGCATGATTGTATAAATGCAGATCCCTCACCTATGCATAGAAGATGGTTGAGGTAGTGATTTTTCAGTGGGTGTTCTTTCTTCCTCCTTCAAGCCCCAGCCC